TCAGAAAGAGAGACATCCACATTGGTTGTACTTCAGACACAGAAACTCTGTCCACTGATGATAAAATGTCAAAGGCCATTACAGCTCTATGTCATATAGAAAACAAGGTATGTGGGTTAGAAAATGTAAATGGTCCACAAGAGGCTTCATATTTTATTACTTATCAATCACTACAGTGGTTTTATGCAGAGCAAATTATTGTGTACATAAAAGGTACGTTTACATACAGATGTGTTTTAACAAACTTTAATATCAGTATTTCATATCACAAAAACCTTTACATTAAAATGTTATAATGTTAGATATCTTAAAGAACTGAAGGCCAGGTACCATCAGCAGCTACAGTCTCAGTAAGTAAAGAACATCCACATATTACACAGCTCTGTTATTTTGATTCTTTGGTTTAAATGTTTTCATAGATATCGCAACTTGAATCAGTTTCTCCTACGTCTATTTCCTGGTTATCGACGGGGACAATCCCTATTTTGTTGGCTGGATTTGAGATAGGTTGGTATAGATCACTTTCTGGTTGCTGAAGGCTTGTGTAGAGGTCATCAGGGTCAGCAAGGTCCTATTAAAATAAATATCTTAATGGATCATGTATTAAAAGTATGATTAAGTAATGTTGAACAAAGGCTGAGACACTCAAGAGTCAATACATTTACTGTCTCCACTGAATTAAATACACTGATCTTCAAACTCTTTACATCCTTTGTATTTTTAGAACATAGATACACATATAAATGTATATTTATGTATTTATTATTACAAACATTAAACTGGCTGCTTTCTGAGTTTATACAGAACATAAGAATACATTACTCACCAGAGAGCCAGGAGGTTCACACACAGATAATCCAGATGTTGCTGACCTTGAACAGCTTCTTTAAATAAGAAGAGAAAAAATTATGTAGAAGAATTAAAGCTTATCTTCATCTTCTAGAAATGTACAATAATTAAATAATAATAACTGTCAGGAAAAGGAGTGAAATAGTGTAAAACAAACATCTACTCTGAGTGAAATATACAGTAAATGCACCGCACCATATTTACATTTAGGGAAATGTTTTTCCACATAAAAGTAATAATCCAAAATGAGGTGGATCCAAAAACATGTTTAAAAATACATTGAAGTCAGTGAAATGGTTTCAGTCTGAATGTTATCTGTCTGTATTCATTTATTTGCTGCTGTTTTACCTTTTAGAGTCTTAATATGAAAGCAGATGCTCCAGTTGCAGCACTTCTTTTATAGGACAGTTCACACCTGTCCTTAGCTGTGAGGGTTTGAGGTTTATGAACCAGAGAACAGAGTATTGAGGTCTGGTAAATGGTCCACATATTGTATTACTTATCAACCACTGCAGTGGTTTTATACAGAGCAGATTATTGTGTACATAAAAGATACGTTTACATACAAACGTGTTTTAACAAACTTTAATCTCAGTATTTTATATCACAAAAACCTCAAATATATTAGACAAAAACATTCAAACAGAAATTGTAATAATGTTGGATATCTTAAAGAACTGAAGGCCAGCTACCATCAGCAGCTACAGTCTCAGTAAGTAAAGAACATCCACATATTACATAGCTCTGTTATTTTGATTCTTTGGTTAAAATGTTTTCATATATTTTTCAACTTGAATCAGTCTCTCCTCCGTCTATTTCCTGGTTATCCAAGTGGACAGTCACTAATGTTCTGGCTGGATTTGAGATAGTTTGGTAGAGATCACTTTCTGGTTGCTGAAGGCTTCTGTAGAGGTCATCAGGGTCAGCAGGGTCCTAAATAATGTTAAACAATGGTTGAAACACTGTCTGCCCTTATTCAAATACACTGATCTTTAATATCTTTGCATCCGTAGTATGTAGTGGTGTATGTATTATTGCAAATATTAAACTGGCTGCTTACTTTAAAGATACAGAACATAAGAATACATTATTCACCAGAGAGCAAGGAGGTTCACACACAGATAATCCAGATGTTGCTGACCTTGAACAGACTCTTTAAATAAAAAGAGATATCAGAGTTAGTGGAACATAAAATACACACAGAAAAATCAAGGTAGAAGAATTAAAGCTTCAGCCAGCATTCAGTGATGAACACAGTATGACTGCAGAAAAAATGTATATTCCAAATCCAAAAATACATAAACTATTACACCCGTTAGTTTTTATCCTGTAGATTAATCCCAGAATAAATCCAGTTATAATGACGACTATTGTTACACCAACCAAAACACTTTGGTATTTGTATTTTTGGCATTTGTGTTTACACTTAATTAACAGCTATCATGCTTTACTGAAGATAATATTATTCCATATTAGGCTCTTACCTATGGTGAATCTTGCTGTAGATAACTAGCAGGATAACTCCGGTTATAATGATGAATATAAATACACAAATTCCAATTCCAACATTAACTAAAGATATTTCTGTTCCTGTTGTACTGCCGGGGTCTTCATCCTCTTAAACATTGTAAAGAAAACAAAATATAGAACATCAGAAGAGCAGCTCGGGTATTCATTTAATACAGAAACACTGATTATACTCTTTGATAGTATCATGTAATAATGTATAACTGGCATGATGTTGTATTATTAGTAAGTGCAGGTATACAGATGCTGTTATTCTTTATAATGTTATCAACCAAACACACACCTGTGTCAGTAATAAGAGAAATATTGTGAGGGAAATTCACAAGATGTGAAAAACAAAAGTTCTAAAATAAATCATTTACCTTCCACAGTAATATTCAGATGGAGAATATATGTTCCACCATGATGTGAACACTCACAGGTGAAGTTCCCACTATCCTCTGGTGTTAAACTGGTCAGGTGGAGAAATAAAGTCTGATTCTCTTCCATCAGTGTGAATCTGGAGTCACATTCATGTATAAAGTCTTGTCCATGTTGATACATCAGACGACACTCTTCTCCTCTAATCTCTGTTCTGATCTTACAAATAACAAGTGCGACCATATTCAGTGTTTCATTGATGCAGATTGGAGTCACATCTGGTTTACTCCCAATGGTTTTTGAAAGCTTCACAAGAGTTGCTGCAATCAATCACAAAAACAATCACTTTGAAATACAGTCACTGAGTTAGTATTTATACATAATAACAGTTTTCACTGCACAAAAATGTTGTTCTCTTTAAACCAAAGCCAGAATGATTAACAAAACAAAAACGTCTTGTATAAGTCAAATTATAAAAGGTATCTACAGTACCTGTGCTGCTGATACAATAAGTTAGAGTCAGGAGGACAATGAACCACAGTTTCAATCTATCCATACTGTTTGAGACGTCTATACAACAATGTCACTGCTGCTGGTAGAGTACAACATGCTGTATTGAAGGGAGGACGCACAGACCTCTTTGTACTGTTCATAAACCTCAAACTCTCACAGCTAGGTGGCGTGAACTCTCCTGTTAAGGACGTGCTGCTACAGGAGGACTCTCTGTAATGTAAAACTGTAGCAAATTAATAAATACAGACAGATTACTGTGTTATATGTGTCTACAGTAAGATTACAGATCATCAAACATCAGGTCTTCAAACTATAGTTTGAGCTGGATCCATTAAGAGTCCAACCAATATTAACTACTGCCTGCACTGCTTACAGTTCACATGGTAAGTGAGAATAAAAATCACATGACCTGCTGAAACCGACGTATGCGTTTGTGGTGATCTCATACTGAGAGGCCTGAGCTTGAGCTGTACACAGAAAGTAGCATGTTGTTTGCAGCTAAAAAACCACTATCTTATTCACACAGCACTGTTATAACTTGATACAACTGTAAGTGATGAAAGTGAATAATAGTTGTTGAAATGAAGAAACAAACTGTAACGTAGTTTGTGTGACTGCAGTGCCTTTGAGATATTTATTCTTCATACAGTTCCAATGACACAGATACATTCACATACAGACGTGTTTTAACAAACTTCAGTTTCAGTATTTTGGAAAACACCTCATATAACAAATATCTTTACACAGAAATATGTACATTTTGTAACTTGAATCAGTCTCTCTTTTGTCTATTTTTCCATTTTATCCAAGTGGACAGTCACTAATATTCTGGCTGAATTTGAGATAGTTTGGTAGAGATCACTTCTTGGGTACTGAAGGCTTCTGTAGAGGTCATCAAGGTCATCTTGGTCCTAATAAAGAGGTAGAAAACTCGATGCATCTCACTAAATAATGTTGAACAATGGTTGAAACACTGTCTGCATGAATCAAATACACTGATCTCTAATATCTTTGCATCCTTTGCATTCACACACATACAAAGGAAGTAGACAAACTGCTCCCACAGTGCAAACCAAGAAGGTTGTTGTGGTTAAACTGAACATTAAAATGTGCAGGAAATGTATGTTTGAACGTAGTATGTAGTGGTGTATGTATTATTACAAATATTAAACTGGCTGCCTACTTTAAAGATACAGAACATAAGAATACATTACTCACCAGAGAGCAAGGAGGTTCACACACAGATAATCAAGATGTTGCTAAACTTGAACAGTTTCTTTATATAAAAAGAGATATCAGAGTTAGTGGAACATAAAATACACACAGAAAAATCAAGGTAGAAGAATTAAAGCTTCTGCCAGCATTCAGCGATGAACACAGTATGACTGCAGAAAAAAATATTTTACAAATCCAAAAATACATAAAGAATTACAATCATAATAATCTCTCACCTGTTAGTTTTTGTTCTGTAGATTAATCCCAGAATAACTCCAGTTATAATGACGACTATTGTTACACCAACCAAAACACTTCGAAATGGACTTTGTGTGTAACTTAGTTAACAGCTATCATGCTTTACTGAAGATTATATTATTCCATATTAGTCTCTTACCTATGGTGAATCTTTCTGAAGATAACTCCCAGGATAACTCCGGTTATAATGATGAATATAAATACACCAATTCCAATTCCAATATTAACTAAAGATATTTCTGTTCCTGTTGTACTGTCGGGGTCTTCATCCTCTTAAACATTGTAAAGAAAACAAAATATAGAACATCAGAAGAGCAGCTCGGGTATTCATTTAATACAGAAACAATGATTATACTCTTTGATAGTATCATGTAATAATGTGTAACTGGCATGATGTTATATTATTAGTAAGTGCAGATATACGGATGCTGTTATTCTTTATAATGTTACCAACCAAACACACACCTGTGTCAGTAATAAGAGAAATATTTTGAGGGAAACGCACAAGATGTGAAACACAAAAGTTATAAAATAAATTGTTTACCTTCCACAATGATATTCAGATGGAGAATAATTGTTCCACCAACATGTGAACACTCACAGGTGATGTGCCCACTATCCTCTGGTGATAAACTGGTCAGATGGAGAAACACAGTCTGATTCTCTTCCATCAGTGTGAATCTGGAGTCACATTCATGTATAAAGTCCTGTCCATGTTGATACAGCAGACGACACTCTTCTCCTCTCATCTGTGTTCTGATCTTACAAATTACAAGTGCGACCATATTCAGTGTTGAATTTGTGCAGATTGGAGTCAAATCGGGTTTGCTCCCAATGATTTTTGAAAGCTTCACAAGAGTTGCTGCAATCAATCACAAATCAAAGCAACATGAAACACAGTCACTGAGTTAGTATTTATACACAATAACAGTTTTCACTGCACAAAAATGTTGCTCTCTTTAAACCAAAGCCAGAATGATTAACAAAACAAAAACGTCTTGTATAAGTTAAATTATAAAAGGTATCTACAGTACCTGTGCTGCTGATACAATAAGTTAGAGTCAGGAGGACAACGAACCATAGTTTCCATCTATCCATACTGTTTGAGACGTCTAAACAACAATGACACTGCTGCTGGTAGAGTACAACATGCTGTACTGAAGGGAGGACGCACAGACCTCTTTGTATTGTTCATAAACCTCAAAGTCTCACAGCTAGGTGCCGTGAACTCTCCTGTAAAGGAAGTGCTGCTACAGGATGACTCTCTGAAAGGTAAAACTGTAGCAAATTAATAAATACAGACAGATTACTGTGTTATATGTGTCTACAGTAAGATTACAGATCATCAAACATCAGGTCTTCAGACTACAGTTTGAGCTAGATCCATTAAGAGTCCAACCAATATTAACTACTGCCTGCACTGCTTACAGTTCACATGGTTAGTGAGAATAGAGAAGATCACATGACCTGCTGAAACCAACGTATGTGTTTGTGGTGATCTCATACTGAGACGCCTGAGCTTGAGCTGTACATAGAAAGTAGCATGTTGTTTGCAGTTTAAAACCACTATCTTATTTACACAGCACTGTTATAACTTGATATAACTGTAAGTGACAAAGTGAATTATAGTTGTTGAAATGAAGAAACAAACTGTAACGTAGTTTGTGTGATTGCAATGCCTTTGAGATATTTATTCTTCATACAGTTCCAATGACACAGATACATTCACATACAGATGTGTTTTAACAAACTTTAGTTTCAGTATTTTGGAAAACACCTCATATAACAAATATCTTTACCCAGAAATATGTACATTTTTTAACTTGAATCAGTTTCTCTTTTGTCTATTTTTCCATTTTATCCAAGTGGACAGTCAATATTTTGCTGGCTGGATTTGAGATAGTTTGGTAAAGATCACTTTCTGGTTGCTGAAGGCTTCTGTCGAGGTCATCAGGGCCATCTTGGTCCTAATAAAAAAGTAGAAAACTCGATGCATCTGACTAAATAATGTTGAACAATGGTTGAAACACTTTCTGCCCTGAATCAAATACACTGATCTTTAATATCTTTGCATCCTTTGCATTGACAGTCATACAAATCAGGATAATCATTTAGGTTGGATTAGATAAAATCATCACCAAGGGCTGAATCTAAAAATCTTCACTGTCTTTCCATTTACACTCATGCAAAAGGAAGTAGACAAACTGCCCCCACAGTGCAAACCAAGAAGGTTATTCTGGTTAAACTGAACATTAAAATGTGTAGGAAATGTATGTTTGAACGTAGTATGGTGTATGTATTATTACAAATATTAAACTTACTCCTTACTTTAAAGATTCAGAACATAAGAATACATTACTCACCAGAGAGCCAGGAGTTTCACACACAGATAATCCAGATGTTGCTGACCTTGAACAGTTTCTTTAAAAAAAGAGATATCAGAGTTATAGAACATAAAATACACACAGAAAAATCAAGGTAGAAGAATTAAAGCTTCAGCCAGCATTCAGCGATGAACAACAAAGTATGACTGCAGACATTATTTTTTTCCAAATCCAAAAATACATAAACTATTACACCCGTTAGTTTTTATCCTGTAGATTAATCCCAGAATAACTCCAGTTATAATGATGACTATTGTTTCACCAACCAAAACACTTCGAATTGGCATTTGTGTGTACACTAAATTAACAGCTATCATGCTTTACTGAAGATAATATTATTCCATATTAGTCTCTTACCTATGGTGAATCTTGCTGTAGATAACTCCCAGGATAACTCCGGTTATAATGATGAATATAAATACACCAATTCCAATTCCAACATTAACTAAAGATATTTCTGTTACTATACGGTCGGGGTCTTCATCCTCTGAAACAATGTAAAGAAAACAAAATATAGAACATCAGAAGAGCAGCTCGGGTATTCATTTAATACAGAAACAATGATTATACTCTTTGATAGTATCATGTAATAATGTATAACTGGCATGATGTTGTATTATTAGTAAGTGCAGATATACGGCTGCTGTTATTCTTTAGAATGTTACCAACCAAACACACACCTGTGTCAGTAATAAGATAAATATTTGTGGGAAATGCACAAGATGTGAAACACAAAAGTTATAAAATAAATAATTTACCTTTCACATTGATATTCAGATGGAGAATATATGTTCCACCAACATGTGAACACTCACAGGTGAAGTTCCCACTATCCACTGGTGATAAATTGGTCAGGTGGAGAAACATAGTTTGATTCTCCGTTATAAGTGTGAATCTGGAGTCACATTCATGTATAAAACCTTTTCGAAGATCATATGTCAGACGGCACTCTTCTCCTCTCATCTCTGTTCTGATCTTACATATTACAAGTGTGATGATCTTCTCTTTTTCATTGTTGCAGATTGGAGTCACATCTGGTTTGCTCCCAATGATTTTTGAAAGCTTCACAAGAGTTGCTGCAATCAATCACAAATCAAAGCAACATGAAACACAGTCACTGAGTTAGTATTTATACACAATAACAGTTTTCACTGCACAAAAATGTTGTTCTCTTTAAACCAAAGCCAGAATGATTAACAAAACAAAAACGTCTTGTATAAGTCAAATTATAAAAGGTATCTACAGTACCTGTGCTGCTGATACAATAAGTTAGAGTCAGGAGGACAACGAACCACAGTTTCCATCTATCCATACTGTTTGAGACGTCTATACAACAATGTCACTGCTGCTGGTAGAGCACAACATGCTGTACTGAAGGGAGGACGCACAGACCTCTTTGTACTGTTCATAAACCTCAAAGTCTCACAGCTTGGTGGCGTGAACTCTCCTGTAAAGGAAGTGCTGCTACAGGAGGACTCTCTGAAAGGTAAAACTGTAGCAAATTAATAAATACAGACAGATTACTGTGTTACATGTGTCTATAAGATTACAGATTATCAAACATCAGGTCTTCAGACTACAGTTTGAGCTAGATCCATTAAGAGACCAATCAATATTAACTACTGCCTGCACTGCTTACAGTTCACATGGTTAGGGCCAATAAAGATCACTTGACCTGCTAAAACTGACGTATGTTTGTGGTGATCTCATACTGAGACGCCTGAGCTTGAGCTTTAATTAGAAAGCAGCATGTTGTTTGCAGCTTGAAACCAATGTCTTACTCACACAGCACTGTTATAACTTGCTACAACTGTAAGTGATGAAAGTGAATTATAGTTGTTGAAATGAAGAAACAAACTGTAACGTAGTTTGTGTGACTGCAATGCCTTTGAGATATTTATTCTTCATACAGTTCCAATGACACAGATACATTCACATACAGACGTGTTTTAACAAACTTCAGTCTGAGTATTTTGGAAAACACCTCATATAACAAATATCTTTACACAGAAATATGTACATTTTGTAACTTGAATCTGTTTCTCTTTTGTCTATTTTTCCATTCTATCCAAGTGGACAGTCACTATTTTGCTGGCTGGATTTGAGATAGTTTGGTAGAGATCACTTTCTGGTTGCTGAAGGCTTCTGTCGAGGTCATCAGGGTCATCTTGGTCCTAATAAAAAAGTAGAAAACTCGATGCATCTGACTAAATAATGTTGAACAATGGTTGAAACACTTTCTGCCCTGAATCAAATACACTGATATTTAATATCTTTGCATCCTTTGCATTGACAGTCATACAAATCAGGATCATCATTGTGGTTGGATTAGATAAAATCATCACCAAGGCCTGAATCTAAAAATCTTGACTGTCTTTCCATTTACACTCATGCAAAAAGAAGTAGACAAACTGCCCCCACAGTGCAAACCACGAAGGTTACTGTGGTTAAACTGAACATTAAAATGTGCAGGAAATGTATGTTTGAACATAGTATGTAGTGGTGTATGTATCATTACAAACATTAAACTGGCTGCTTACTTTAAAGATACAGAACATAAGAATACATTACTCACCAGAGAGCCAGGAGATTCACACACAGATAATCCAGATGTTGCTAAACTTGAACAGACTCTTTAAATAAAAAGAGATATCAGAGTTATAGAACATAAAATACACACAGAAAAATCAAGGTAGAAGTATTAAAGCTTCAGCCAGCATTCAGCTATGAACACAGTATGACTGCAGAAAAAAAATATTTTCCAAATTCAAGTATTACAATCACAATAATCTCTCACCGATTAGTTTTTGTCCTGTAGATTAATCCCAGAATAACTCCAGTTATAATGACAACTATTGTTACACCAACCAAAACACTTCGAATTGGCATTTGTGTGTACACTTAATTAACAGCTATCATGCTTTACTGAAGATAATATTATTCCATATTAGTCTCTTACCTATGGTGAATCTTTCTGAAGATAACTCCCAGGATAACTCCGGTTATAATGATGAATATAAATACACCAATTCCAAGTCCAATATTAACTAAAGATATTTCTGTTCCTGTTGTACTGTCGGGGTCTTCATCCTCTGAAACATTGTAAAGAAAACAAAATATAGAATATCAGAAGAGCAGCTTGGGTATTCATTTAATACAGAAACACTAATTATACTCTTTGATAGTATCATGTAATAATGTATAACTGGCATGATCTTTTATTGTTAGGAAGTGCTGATATATGGACGCTGATATTCTTTATAATGTTACCAACCAAACACACACCTGTGTCAGTAATAAGAGAAATATTTGAGGGAAATTCACAAGATGTGAAACACAAAAGTTATAAAATAAATCATTTACCTTCCACAGTGATATTCAGATGGAGAATATATGTTCCACCATGATGTGAACACTCACAGGTGAAGTTCCCACTATCCACTGGTGTTAAACTGGTCAGGTGGAGAAACATAGTCTGATTCTCCATCATAAGTGTGAATCTGGAGTCACATTTATGTATAAAACCTTTTCGAAGATAATATGTCAGACGACACTCTTCTCTTCTCATCTCTGTTCTGATCTTACATATTACAAGTGTGATGATCTTCTCTTTTTCATTGGTGCAGATTGGAGTCACATCTGGTTTGCTCCCAATGGTTTTCACAAGAGTCACTGCAATCAATCACAATCAAAAATCAGCTATAAAATTACAGACAATGTTTAGTTGTTGTCTTCAAACCAACAACAGGAAGATGAGAGAAAAACAACTTGCAGGGATTTTACATGCTGAGAACTAGTTTCTGTGCATTACCTTCGCTGTCAGAACTCACAGTTAGTGGCAGAAGAAGAACAAAGAACAGTCTCAGTTTTGCCATATTGGTCAAGAAGCAACTGCTGCTGGTAGAGTACAATATCTTGTACTGAAGGAGGACACACAGACCTCAATACACTGTTCTCTGGTTCATAAACCTCAAACCCTCACAGCTACGAGCTGATGTGAACTCTGTGGTAAAGGAAGTGCTGCTACATGAGGATTCTCTGAAAGGTAAAACTGTAGCAAATGAATGAATACAGACAGATAACTGTGTTATATGTGTGTACAATCAGATCATTAAACATCAGGTTTAATATTATTATTAAATATTATTACATATTAACTACTCCCTGCATTGCTTACAGTTCACATGGTTAGTGAGAATAAAGACCACATGAGCTGCTGAAACCGACGTATGTGTTTGTGATGATCTGATACTGAAAACCCTGAGCTTGAGCTGTACATAGGAAGCAGTTTGTTTGCAGTTTGAAAGCAGTGCCTTATTCACACAGCACTGTTATAACTTGATACAACTGTAGTGAAAAAGTGATGAAAGTGAATTCACATTGTTCAAATGAAGAAACAAACTGTAACATAGTTTGTGTTACTACAATGCCTTTGGGATATTTATTCTTCATACAGTTCCAATGACACAGATACATTCACATACAGACGTGTTTTAACAAACTTCAGTCTCAGTATTTTGGAAAAACACCCCATATAACAAATACCTTTACACAGAAATGTTAACCGACATCTTTTAAATTTAATCTTAACCTGGTCACAAATATTTTTGTATAAACAGTTCTGTAAAATATGTTTCTGAAAGATTGCAGGACAGAAATAGTCAACACAGTAATAAAATGTTGATTCATGTTTGATCAGCAGAGAATGACCTGTTAATCACAATGTAGCCACATCCTAAAGCATACCCTGCTTAATTGTCTATTTAACTCTAAAAGGGACCATCATTTACACAATGACCATCAGGCTGTATGGAAGAGGACTTGTTTTTTTGCAGATCATGGAGCTCCCCCTGCTGGCCATCAGAAAGAGAGACATCCACGTTGGTTTGACTTCAGACACAGAAACTCTGTCCACTGATGATAAAATGTCAAAGGGCATAACAGCTCTATACACTGCCGGCCCGTGGCATAGGCAGTATTTGCAAATGCTAAAACTAGTTGGTGCTATTATTTCTTAGTCCAAAAAAAATAAGCCCACATTAATTTAACTGCATAGCAAAGGCCTATTAAATAATAATAAGACTTTATTAAGCCCCCCGCCCCCCCTCCTCCTCTACCTGCTCTCTGAGAGATGGTTGAGTTTTCTGACGTCACCCTAGAAACCATTAACAATGTCAAAACAGTACAGTACACAGTACTGGCTGCTTACTTTAAAGATACAGAACATAAGAATACATTACTCACCAGAGAGCCAGGAGGATCACACACAGATAATCCAGATGTTGCTGACCTTGAACAGACTCTTTAAATAAGAAGAGATATCAGAGTTAGTGGAACATAAAATACACACAGAAAAATCAAGGTAGCTTATATTTATTTTTGAGAAAATTGCAATAATAATTATCAGGAAAAAGAGAAAAATTATGTCATGCTGTCATCTTCTGCAAGTGAAATTTACAGTAGATGCCATATTTACATTTAGAAAAAGGTTTTTTCGCTTTTACACATTTGGTCCCAAAAAACCATAAAGTATTACAATTATAATCGTTTCTCACCCATTACTTTTTGTCCTGTAGATAAATCCCAGAATAACTCCAGTTATAATGATAACTACACACATCAAGACCCATCGAATCAGCATTTGTGTTAAACAGCCGGCGTCTTCTTCCTCTAAAACATTTAAAAAAAAAGAAAAGATAGAAAAATGTCAATGGTGTTTGCTCTATTTATGAGAGGCAACACAGTAACATAAAATATTGTATTACTGGAATCTGTAAATTAAAGTGAAAAAAAATGATCTAAATTACACAAAGCCGAGACACAAACAAACTTTTATTGGTCTGATTAATGTACGCTTTGAACTATAATTAACAATACAATAGAGTACAACATGTTGTACTGAAGGGAAGACACACAGAGCTCTATACTCTGTTCTCTGGTTCATAAACCTCAAACCCTCACAGCTACGAGCTGGTGTGAGCTCTTCTATAAACGAAGTGCTGCAACAGCAGCTTCAGCTTTCATATTAAGTCTCTAAAAGGTAAAACAGCAGCAAATTAATAAATACAGACAAAAAACTGTGTTATATGTGTCTAGATTAAGATTGCAGATGATCAAACATCAGGTCTTCAGACTACAGTTTGAACTGGATCCACTAAGAGTCCAACCAATATTAACTACTTCTTGCACTGCTTACCATTTACATGGTTAGTGACAATAAAGATCACATGCTTAAATTTGTGTATTCGTTTGTGGTGATCACATATTTAGAGGCCTGAGCTTGAGCTTTAATTAGAAAGCAGCATGCTGTTGGCAGCTTGAAACCAGTGTCTTATTCACACAGCACTGTTATAATTTGATACAATTGTAAGTGACAAAGTGATGAAAGTGAATTATAGTTGTTAAAATGAAAAAAACAAACTATCAATTTGTGTGAATGCAATGCAATGAAAAATATGTGATTTACGTTCAAAATGTAAGTATTATGAAGTTTTGAAATATTTACTAATCAGCAATCATACAGATATAATGACTGAATTTTATTTTGAAATTCCAATTTATCACCGATAATCCACGTTGTACAAATCATGGCCAAAAGACTCAAACTCTTCTCTTTGTATAGTTTGAAGGACATTATCTGGAAATTATTATATTATTATTATAGATATCTGTGTTAAACAATGAAAATGGTCCTTCAAAAGACACTATATTTTATTTATTTTATTACATTTCTACACTTGTCGACCACTACAATAGTTTTATACAGAGCTTTAATTAACAAACTGGCCAAACAGAGCAACAACTTAAAGGAATCAGAGGAGTTGAGGTCAAATATGATCTGTTATTGGAGAATACTCATCCTATCTGATAGATGACGCATGCAATAATAACACAACATCTTAAAGAATGTGACAAGAAAACTGATAATGAAACAGCATGCAGTCATTATCCAGTTTAAATACAAGCCACAGTGTTTAAGAAGCTGTTCTGTGTAAGATACTCTGACTCTGATACTACTGACTGATACCACAATGTATTAAACACCCTTCTGGCCAAACACAGCATCTTCTCCGAGCCCTGTTCTTCTGCTGAGGAGAGTTTATTTCCTGTATATCAACTATAAAACAGTTACTGTCATCACATTACAGGAAATTGTAATTAGTTTGGATATGTTAAAGAACTGAAGGCCAGCAACTATCAGCAGCTACAGTCTCAATAAGTAAAGAACATCCACATATTACACAGCTCTGTCATATTGATTCTTTGGTTAAAATGTTTTCATATATTTTGTAACTTGAATCAGTCTCTCCTCCGTCTATTTCCTGGTTATCCAAGTGGACAGTCACTATTTTGTTGGCTGGATTTGAGATAGTTTGGTAGAGATCACTTTCTGGTTGCTGAAGGCTTGTGTAGAGGTCATCAGGGTCATCTTGGTCCTAAAAAAAAAAAAAAAAAAACTTGATGCATCTGACTTAATAATGTTGAACAATGGTTGAAACACTGTCTGCCCTTAATCAAATACACTGATCTTTAATATCTTTGCACCCTTTGTATTTACACACATACAAATCAGGAGCATCATTGAGGTTGGATTAGATAAAATCATCATCAAGGCCTAAATCTAAAAGTCTTTACTTCCTTTCCATTCACACTCATGCAAAAGGAAGTAGACAAACTGCTCCCACAGTGGAAACCAAGAAGGTTGTTGTGGTTAGACTGAACATTAAAATGAGCAGGAAATGTATGTACAAACGTAGTTAGTCTGGAATAGATCATCAACTAAAGATCAGAAATATAAATGTATATCGATGGATCTATTACTACAAACATTAAACTGGCTGCTTACTTTAAAGATACAGAACATTAGAATACATTACTCACCAGAGAGCCAGGAGATTCACACACAGATAATCCAGATGTTGCTGACCTTGAACAGTTTCTTTAAATAAGAAGAGATATCAGAGTTAGTGGAACATAAAATACACACAGAAAAATTTTCTCTTCAGCCTCTGTAATGATAATAATAGTCAGCTAGGGGAGCAAAATACTGTAATGCAAACATCATCTACATTGAAATACAATGACACCTTTACATTAATAAAAATGTTTTCTACTTTTGCACAGAAAAGTAATTATCTCAGTTGAATTGGCATTCAAATCCAAAGAAGCATATTACAATCATAATAATTTCTCACCTGTTAGTTTTTGTCCTGTAGATTATTCCCAGAATAACTCCAGTTATAATGATGACTATTGTTACACCAATCAAAACACTGTGAATTGGCATTTGTCTTAAACTGCTAGCGTCTTCATCTTCTACAACACAGCAAAGAAAAAACATCTTTGTTAGAAAATATTATGAAATCTGAATTGTACACCTACATACATTAGGGTATGAACAAAGCTATGAGTATCATCCACCTCTTTTCTATGAATTGAAACAGGTCTAATTTCCTATGTGCTGACATTGTATTGCAATGGAAATTCTTCATAATATTAATCATGCAGCAGAAAATTAACCTAAATTAAACAAATCAACAGAAAGAAAGAAAAGCATAAAGTGCTAATCACAAAAGCAAGAAAGTGAATCAGACATTTACCTTTCACTGTGATTTTCAGATGGAGAACGGTGAGGATGAGATGCAGAGTATCCGTTCCACGAGCATGTGAACACTCACAGGTGAAGTTCCCACTATCCTTTGCTATTAAACCGGTCAGCTGGAGGAACAGAGTCCGATTATCCGTCGTAAGTGTGAATCTGGAGTCACAGTCTTGCTCAAAGTCTTGTCCATGTTGATACAGCAGACGACACTCTTCTCCCCTCATCTCTGTTCTGATCTTACAAACTACAAGTATGACGATATGCAGTGTTTCATTGGGGCATATTGGAGCGATATATGGTTTGCTCCCAATGGTTTTCACGAGCTTCACAAGAGTTTCTGCAATCAATCACAATCCAAACTCATCATGAAATACAGTCACTGAGTTAGCGTTTGATGTATTCACGCACAGTCACAGTTTCCAATGCACAAGAATGAGCAAATATTGTTGCTGTCTTTAAACCAATGAATAATTAACAGAGAACAACGATGTCTTGTGTAACTTAAATGATAAAAGAGTATCTACAATACCTGTGCTGTCGATATAGAAAGCTAGCATCAGAAGGACAACGAACCACAGTTTACATCTATCCATATTGGTCGAGACATCTAAACAAAAGTGCAACTCTGTGCTGGCGGTGTACGACATCCTGTACTGAAGGAAGACACACAGACCTCTTTGCTCTCTTCTCTGTAACATAAACCTCAAACTCTCACAGCTACAAGCTGGTGTGAACTTTCCTGTAAAAGAAGTGCTGCAACAGGAGCTTCAGCTTTCATATTAAAACTCTAAAAGGTAAAACAGCAGCAAATGAATAAATACAGACAGAAACATTCAGGCTGGTAATATTTTAGTGACTTTAAAACAACTTAAGTGTCTGGTTTGGTGAAATTCAAAGACACAAAATTGTCCTGAAAAACTTCTCATGTTATATGCGTAATCATTAGTAAGGTTATAGACCATCAAACACCAGGTTGTGTTTTCAGACTACAGTTTGAGCTGAATCCACTGAGAGTCCAAACACTATCAACCACTGCTTGCTCTGGTCTTTGTGCTTGGTGAGAGTTGTACATCATGTGCTATGCTGACTGTTCCAGGGTCGTGTTCACATGAAGAGCTGTTTGAACAAACACTGTAATCTCAATATTTTAACATCCCATATCAAATATATTACACAAAAACATTAACACACAAATTGTAATAATGTTAGATATCTTAAAGAACTGAAGGCCAGCTACCATCAGCAGCTACACTCTCAGTACGTAAAGAACATCCAAATATTACACAGCTCTCTTATGTTGATTCTTTGGTTAAAATGTTTTCTTATATTTTTCAACTTGAATCAGTCTCTCCTCTGTCTATTTCCTGGTTATCCAAGTGGACAGTCACTATTTTGCTGGCTGGATTTGAGATAGTTTGGTAGAGATCACTTTCTAGTTGCTGAAGGCTTCTGTAGAGGTCATCGGGGTCATCAGGGTCCTAGTAAAAAAAAATAAAACTTGATGCATCTGACTAAATAATGTTAAACAATGGTTGAAACATTGTCTGCCCTTATTCAAATACACTGATCTTTAATATCTTTGCATCCTTTGTATTGACAGTCATGCAAAAGGAAGTAGACAAACTGCTCCCACAGTGCAAACCAAGAAGGTTGTTGTGGTTAAATTGAACATTAAAATGGGCAGGAAATGTATGTTTGAACGTAGTATGTAGTGGTGTATGTATTATTGAAAACATTAAACTGGCTGCTTACTTTAAAGATACAGAACATAAGAATACATTACTCACCAGAGAGCCAGGAGGTTCACACACAGATAATCCAGATGTTGCTGACCTTGAACAGACTCTTTAAATAAAAAGAGATATCAGAGTTAGTGGAACATAAAATACACACAGAAAAATCAAGGTAGAAGAATTAAAGCTTCAGCCAGCATTCAGCGATGAACACAGTATGACTGCAGAAAAAAAAAAAATTCCAAATCCAAAAATACATAAAGTATTACACCCGTTTCCTCTAGATTAATCCCAGAATAACAGTTATAATGACGACAATTGTTACACCAATCAAAACACTTCAAATTGGCATTTGTGTGTACACTTAATTAACAGCTATCATGCTTTACTGAAGATAATATTATTCCATATTAGTCTCTTACCTATGGTGAATCTTGCTGTAGATAACTAGCAGGATAACTCCGGTTATAATGATGAATATAAATACACAAATTCCAATTCCAACATTATCTAAAGATATTTCTGTTCCTGTTGTACTGCCGGGGTCTTCATCCTCTTAAACATTGTAAAGAAAACAAAATATAGAACATCAGAAGAGCAGCTCGGGTATTCATTTAATACAGAAACAATGATTATACTCTTTGATAGTATCATGTAATAATGTATAACTGGCATAATGTTATATTATTAGTAAGTGCTGATATACGGATGCTGTTATTCTTGATAATGTTACCAACCAAACACACACCTGTGTCAGTAATAAGAGAAATATTTTGAGGGAAACGCACAAGATGTGAAACACAAAAGTTATAAAATAAATAATTTACCTTCCACAGTGATATTCAGATGGAGAATAATTGTTCCACCAACATGTGAACACTCACAGGTGACGTGCCCACTATCCTCTGGTGTTAAACTGGTCAGGTGGAGAAACACAGTCTGATTCTCTTCCATCAGTGTGAATCTGGAGTCACATTCATGTATAAAGTCCTGTCCATGTTGATACAGAAGACGACACTCTTCTTCTCTCATCTGTGTTCTGATCTTACAAATTACAAGTGCGACCATATTCAGTGTTGAATTTGTGCAGATTGGAGTCACATCTGGTTTACTCCCAATGGTTTTTGTAAGCTTCACAAGAGTTGCTGCAATCAATCACAGATGGAAGCAACATGAAACACAGTCACTGAGTTAGTATTTATACACAATAACAGTTTTCACTGCAGAAAAATGTTGCTCTCTTTAAACCAAAGCCAGAATGATTAAAACAAAAACGTCTTGTATAAGTTAAATTATAAAAGGTATCTACAGTACCTGTGCTGCTGATACAATAAGTTAGAGTCAGGAGGACAACGAACCACAGTTTCCATCTATCCATACCGTTTGAGACGTCTAAACAATAATGTCACTGCTGCTGGTAGAGCACAACATGCTGTACTGAAGGGAGGACGCACAGACCTCTTTGTACTGTTCATAAACCTCAAACTCTCACAGCTAGGTGGCGTGAACTCTCCTGTAAAGGAAGTGCTGCTACAGAAGGACTCTCTGAAAGGTAAAACTGTAGCAAATTAATAAATACAGACAGATTACTGTGTTATATGTGTCTACAGTAAGATTACAGATCATCAAACATCAGGTCTTCAGACTACAGTTTGAGCTAGATCCACTAAGAGTCCAACCAATATTAACTACTGCCTGCACTGCTTACAGTTCACATGGTTAGTGACAATAAAGATCACATGACCTGCTGAAACCGAAGTATGTGTTTGGGGTGATCTCATGCTGAGAGGCCTGAGCTTGAGCTGTACACAGAAAGCAGCATGTTGTTTGCAGCTTGAAACCAGTGTCTTATTCACACAGCACTGTTAGAACTTGATACAACTGTAAGTGATGAAAGTGAATTATAGTTGTTCAAATGAAGAAACAAACTGTAACGTAGTTTGTGTGACTGCAATGCCTTTGGGATATTTATTCTTCATACAGTTCCAATGACACAGATACATTCACATACAGATGTGTTTTAACAAACTTCAGTCTCAGTATTTTGGGGGGAAAAAAATATAAGAAACACCTTTACATAGAACTGTGTACATTTTGCAATTTGGATCAGTCTCTCTTTTGTCTATTTTTCCATTTTATCCAAGTGGACAGTCACTATTTTGCTGGCTTGATTTGAGATAGTTTGGTAGAGATCACTTCTTGGGTACTGAAGGCTTCTGTAGAGGTCATCAGGGTCATCTTGGTCCTAATAAAAAAAGCTAAAACTTGATGGATCATGTTCACTTTTAATCTTTACTTCCTTTGTATTTACACTCGGGCAGGAAAAGTATGTTCGAACGTCGTATGTAGTGGTGTATGTATTATTACAAATATTAAACTGGCTGCTTACTTTAAAGATACAGAACATAAGAATACATTACTCACCAGAGAGCCAGGAGGTTGACACACAGATAATCCAGATGTTGCTGACCTTGAACAGCATCTTTAAATAAGGAGAGATATCAGAGTTAGTGGAACATAAAATACACACACAGAAAAATATATTTTTCATCTTCTAGAAAATGGTAACAATAATAATAATCGTCAGGAAGAGAAGCAAAATACTATAATACAGGTATCTTCTGAGAGAAATGCACAGAGAGTAATTATCCCTGTTGATTTGGTATCCAAATCCCAAGGAGCATATTACAATCGTAATAATCTCTCACCCATTAAATTTTTTCCTGTAGATTAATCCCAGAATAACTCCAGTTACAATGATGACTATAGCTACACCAATCAAAACACTTTGAATTGGAACTGGTGTTGAACTGCTGACATCTTCATCCTCTAAAATATTGAAAAGAAATAACATTTGTTAGAAAAATACACTCATATTTGCTTTAACAAAACAATATGATTCCACTCTTTCCTGTTCAGTGTATAATGTAATATTATGTTACTGACATCATCTGCAAATCAAACATAATTCACACGCTCACATGTTTTATATCTGCTCTACGCAATCTCACCTGATTTGTGTCATCTGCATTTTTACATCTACACACATGAAAGGACCAGCGTGTAAGATTTAGTGGTATCTCGCAGGGAAATTGTAGATTGTAACCAACTGAAACTGCTCGCCTCAATCAACCGCAAAGGAGCAACTATGGTGGCTGCGGAACCTGCGAAAGACCGAACTACAGCCAGTGTTTGGTTTGTCTGAGTGTCTGTAGAAACATGGTGGTGCAACATGGTAGACTGGAGGAGGACTTGTTCCCTCTTTAGATTAAAAACGACTCATTCTAAAATCTAAATTCAGGTGATTATTAATGAAAACATACATGAATATTATATTCAATGTCTTTAGATCCTCCTAAATGTTACACACTGGATCTTTAAGCTATAAATATAAAAGAAACACACTAAAATAGACATGAAAATGAATCAAACATTTACCTTCCACAGTGATATTCAGATGAAGACTGTACGTTCCATCAAGACGCGAACAATCACAAATGTAGTTCCCACTATCCTCTGCTGTTAAACTGGTCAGGTGGAGGAACACAGTCTGATTATCCATCATAAGTGTGAACCTGGAGTCACAGTCGTGCTCAAAGTCCTTTCCATGTCGATACAGCAGACGACACTCTTCTCCCCCCATCTGTGTTCTGATCTTACAAACTATAAGCGTGATGGTACGCAGTGTGTCATTGGTGCAGATTGAAGTCACATCTGGTTTGCTCCCAATGGTTTTCACAACATTCACAACAGTTGCTGCAATCAATCACAATCAAAACTCAACATGAAATACAGTCGCTGAGTTAGCACTTGATGTATTCATGCACTCAGTTAATTGCATGAGCAATGACAGTTTTCAATGGACAGGCAAATTACAGAAAATGTTTTGTTGCTGTCTATGAACTAAAGACAGAATGATTAACAGAGAATAACAACATCTTGTATAAGTTATAAATCATCAAAAGTAGCTCTTGTACAGTACCTGTGCTGCCGATATAAATAATTAGAGGCAGAAGGACAACAAACCAATGTTTCCATCTACCCATACTGGTCAAAACGTCTCAACAACAGCGCAACTGCTGCTGGCGGTGTGCAACTTCCTGTATTGAAGTCAGGGCACACAGACTGTCCTTCAGTAACATACATTCAAAGTGTGAACTCTTTTATAAAGGAAGTGCTGCGACAGGACGTTCTGCTTTCATGTTAAGACCCTTAGAGGTAAAACAGTCGAAAATAGGATGTGAATATTTCAGCCACTTTAAAACAACTTAAACATCCTGTTTGGTGAAATTCAGAAAAGTAAGAAACACTTATTATGCATATGTTAAATGCATATACACTCCATTTTTTATTCTATAAATTCAAATAGGTTTAATTCAATGCATAAGTGCAGACATCATATTGCCATTCACAAAACAAACTGCATGGAGTGCTGCTTGGGTGTAAAAACAAAAAAGGTGACCCCCTTGTGCACATTTCTCTCATATTTCCAGTGCAGTTTAAACCCTGATTATCTTGATGTGACATCCCAAACTAAAGTGGATGTTCAATAACTGAGAATTTGTGTGTTTTGGGGGAAGATGTGACATTAATATAGATTTTTATTTTGGTGTAAGCAAACCTCTATCTCAGTTTTCCACAGAATTTAAAGGACCTAGTAGTAGCTTAAATTACCGTGAATGAGTGTTTCTAGTGCAGACACCAGCTGGAGCTTTTACAGTCACTACAAGTGCAGTCATGGCCATTTATAAAAGTTTCTATGGTACCTGTGTTGTAGCTAAGCTAGCAGCTCCAAGAGGCTAACTCTGCATATATCCAGTGCAGCTGTCAAAAGCATTTTTAACCCATGAAATGCCAGTGTTCATGCATTTGGTAAGAATATCAATATTAATATCAGAGTACAGTCATATAATTTAGTTTAGAGCTCAATACACATATTCAAGCGTTCAGTATCTCTTTAATGTTGAGTATCAGCAAGTTTTTCAGCCATACAGGAAAAATATTTTGCATGTGTGCATTTTTACAGAATGATGCATTTACAGTACAGTATTTTTTAAGTATGAAGAGTTTGTATTTGTGACAAAGTATAAGGTTAAAAAATGAAAAGGTAACTTAACACATGTTTGACTCAAAGGTTTTCATAGATTTCGTAATTTTGATCAGTCTCGTTTTCTATTTCCTGATCAAAACTGGTCGCTGTTTTCTTTCTGGATGACTTTAGCTTGCTGTGGTGTTGATGGTGTACTGATGAAATATTCTGGTATATATCACTTCCTGGCTGTTCAAGGCTTGCGTAGGGGTTTTCTGGGTCATCTGTGTCCTATTAAAAACATATAAAAAATATCTAATGAGACAGCCTTTGTAAAGGTTTATACATTTTAACTAATTGCTAAAGTTAATTATTAATCAAGCCATTATTTACAACAAAAAATAGAAAATAGTACTTCAAATGTTTCATTATTAATGAATTAGCTGTTCATTCAGGCCTTCAGCAGCCTGAGTGAGACAAATCAAGAGGATATCTTCCAACGTTACAACATTTTTAGACCAATTTCCCTCTTTGCCACAAGCATATCTCTTACTATCTATATCTGTTATATCAAATGATGTTCACAGAGCTGTTGTCACTGGTTTGGAGTTTACAAAAAGGCTTCCTCTGTTGTTGCTCAGTCCACCCAAGAGACGTTGTGGTAGCCTAGTGGTTAAGAAACGTACCATACTGCACCATGCAGGTATATACTCTTACATGTCAGCCCCCTTTTTCTCTCCCACTCATTATTTCCTGTCAGCACAGTCATGCTGTCCATTTTTACAGATAAAACAAAATGCCTCAGCTCAATGCCTTGAATGTACAAATATGAGTACTGTATGTGTGAATACACACATTCAAATAGCTACTTAATACATTTAAAGGCAGAGAGAAAAAGAATGCGTGGCTCACCAGAGAGCCGGGGGTTTCACAGACAGATTGTCCGGATGCTCCAAACCGTGTATCGTCTCTGTAAACAAGAATAGAGGTCAGAGTTAGACATGGCACACGAAATAAACAGCTAATTTACTTAAATTTTTTTGTTCCTGTAAGTAGTTTAATTTATTTACAATTATGTATTTAATATAGAAATTGTATCATTTCACAAGGTTTAAAAGGACACAGTCAGAAAGATTATATCACCTGCAGCGTGTTTCTCTCAGGATACGTCTATGGAAAACTCCAGGCACAATGATGAATATGGCGATAACAATCACAATGATGGACCATGTCCCAGAAGAACTGCTGCTGTTCTGCACTTCATGTGACGCTGAGATTGTTAACATACATTGGAAAATAATAAGAGTCAAATTATTGTTTAAAACTTCCACAATAGAGAATATTTATCCACAAACATTATTAAGCTTTAAATTCAATGTGTATTGCCAAAGTTACTACACTTATATACAATATATCTTGAAGAAATCAAACATTTACCTTCCACGGTGATATTCAGTCGGAGTATATGTATTCCCTCAGCACGTGAACACTCACAGGTGAAGTTCCCACTATCCACTGGTGTTAAACTGGTCAGGTTGAGAAACACAGTCTGATTCTCCATCGTAAGTGTGAACCTGGAGTTACACTCGGTCTCAAAGCCCCATTCTTGTTGATACAGCAGACGACACCCTTTCCCCCTTGTCCTTTCTGTGCGGATCTTACACACAACTGAGAGGATTCGCAGCACTCGAGTGGTGCATATTGGAGTGACATCTTGTTCTTTACCGATGGTCTTCACAAGAGTCACTGCAATTGATAGGAGAAAACTTTTTTGATTCATTTATTCTGCACTACAATAGGAACAATGTACAGTAGATGGTGAGATACATTCAAAACTCAAAGTTAGGACAATTATTACAAAGCTTCATATAATTCTAACAAACTGCAAAACTGGATAACTTACATTAACAGCATGAAATAAAAGCTCACAGTACCTTCAGTGTCAAAACACAAACACAGCGGCAGAAGCAGAACAAGCCAGGGTTTCCACTGGTCCATGATCGCAGAACGTCTGAACAACAGTGCTGCTTCTCAGTAAACAGTAAATACAGCGCAGAGTGGAAAATAAACAGGGGCACACCTCTTCTGCTACCTAATCCCCACAATACCTAAAATATCTGTGTACGAGCTGATAGTGACGTGTCCTAAAATGGATGTACAAGACATGACTTCCCCTACTTCAAGTTGAGACTCTGTAGGCGACTCTTTAATACTTGTTTCTCTGAAAGCATCTGTTTAGCATTATGCTAAAGCTAAGTTCCTGATGGTAGCCAACCTTTATGGACCTTTATGCATTATTTTAATGTTTTCTTTCAAATAAACTCAAGCATCAAATGTGAGTTTGTTTGCTTTAGTTCAATAACAAAATACTAGTTAGTATTTGGTGATTATTTTGGAGGAAAATGAGATATATACAGTACTTGTGGGTCCCTTACATTGTGCATTTGATATTCTAGGTTCAACCCAGTTCCTCAGGTTTTGGCAGAGGTCCATCTGAATGCTGTATGTACTGAGTGAAGGTCATTACCAGGACAATAGCAACCTTCTGGGTCCAAAGGCAACGTCTGATCCCGGTGACTGCTGTTGGCCATCACCTGCAGGAGCTGAGGGCAGCAGACAAGACAAGATGGATTTAAATCAGTGACAGAAACTTTAAGGATTACAGTAATTTCCTTTAAAAGTACATTTAAGTTTTAAAACAAAACAAATATAAACCACAAGTTAGTTTCATGTTAATTTGCTTTATAGAAAAATGCATTTTCCACCAAAACTTCTAATTTATGATATTTTAGTCAGTTCAAAATAGGGCTGCAACAACTAATCGATTAAATCGATTAAAATCGATTATAAAAATAGTTGGCGATTAATTTAGTCATCGATTCATTGGATCTATGTTATGCACTGCTGCACGCGCTCCTGCTGCAACGTCTCAGGTGGTGGCAGTCATAGATAGACTAGATGTCGCCTTGGGCTTCTAAGCATACGTCAAAACCGCCGCCATCTTGGAGCGGGGATCTAGAGCGCCAAATTAGTTTTCCCGCATTCAGATCAGCTCTAAAGATGCCGGACTTTTGTGCTGCTTATGGATGTTCGAACAAAAGAAACGAAAAAAACAAACAGCAAGGGATAACATTTCACAGGTGATAATGTGTTCTATGATATTGAATGTTACGAAAGTATATTTCTGGTGATGAAATTATATTGTTTCAGTCTCATGTTTCAGTATACATATATATATATATATATATGGTTGGTTGGGTGACGTTTTCAAAATAAAAGCACGACCGTCAAAAAGATACTGCATGAAATATTGAGCTGTGAAGCCTTTAGGTCGGATTTTTTTGTGATTGTCATTAAATATGAGTACAATACAGGTGTAAAAGCAAATACCCATACTATTAAGTGGAAGAATAATAAAACTACGCCTACTAGTACTAGGCATTACATTTTAAAGTAGATTATATTAATATCAAAAGCTTACATTTTCGCTGGACTCGATCAGTTGGAACAAACCAAAAAACTAAAAAATCGTTCGAGATTTTGACGGTTTATGGTGATTTTATTTTTGTTAGATCTTTGCCTAGATTGGCGCTAATGCATTAAAGGGGGGTGGATCCCCGCTGCAAGATGGCGTCTCTATTGACGCATTCGGTCCAATGAACAGCAGTAGTCAAGGCGACATCTATGCCGCGTTCGTTTTGTCCACCGAACTCGATCTCCGAGTCGGTTTCCTGAGTTACGAACCGGAAGTTGCAAATAGAACGCTCCCGAGGACGTATAAACGACTCCTGAAGTCGTCTGAATTTAGAGGACCCCGAGTTCAGTTACCAAGATGGCTACTCCGAGCATCACACGTAGTAAACATTGTGGTTTTCTACTATTTTAAGCACTTTTGTCTTTGTTGTAACCAAATGAAGAAGTCGTACACATAGCACTGTATACTGTTACCTATAGGCATGTCTCTACAGTCTTATTATGTATTAAATGCTGCCTAATTTGTTATTTTGTAGCTTGTGCAGCTGAAATTGGCTAGAGACGCTCCATGTTGCTATGACAACAGTGCCGAGTCTTGAGCAGAAGGCAGAGCAGTAGCGGAAATATTCAGATATCAAACTGTGAAATATGATTGTGTAACATGTAATGAACATGTGAAATCTGCGGTGGGTGCACCGTAAACCAGATAATCACTATAAACGTTACGAAATGTCCAAACTGCCTATTGCAACCAAGCTCGTTGTGTTGTGTGCCAAACAGAACGCAAAAACCCGCGGTTATTCGTTTTCCAACACGGCTGTGACGTCGCTCTCGAGCTGCAAGTCGCGATTACAAGACAAAACGAACATGGCATAGTGTAGTCAGTATATATATCTATGGGTGGCAGTAAGCCAGCCAATGCCGTGCCGTGTGCAGCTCACGTGACGACGCCGTCTACCTTGCCTGGAGTAAACATTTGAAAGAGTGCAACGAGTTCATTTGTTGTGTTGTTTTGGGTCGCAATAGGCATTCATGAGTTCAGCACGCCAGCCCTTTTGTTTGAGTATCCCTTTGTTGCAACTCGGGGCTGATAATGTGTCGGTCTCCGGCAGATTTGACTCTGTTTTGATGGAGAAAACACACGGTTACCAATTTCGAAATAAACGTAACGGACAGAAATATTTCCGGTTCGTTTCATAATGGATAATGTAGACGGGCCACCAATAAAGCTATTTAAATCTATTTAGGTTGGAGAGACACTTTAGTATAACTAACGTTATGGAGTTGTTGGAATATATCTTGCTATTATTCAGAGGCAGTCTAAAGTGAATCCTTTATTACTTCACAACAGAAACTTGAACAATATCTGATCCAGTTCTGATCTGATTAGTTACATTTCTGTTTTATTGCTGGTGAATTAATTTAATAAACAAACATAAAATGAATAATAATAATAATAATAATAATAATAATAATAATAATAATAATGAAATGTATACAGTGCACTTCAGTTTGTAGCTGAACAGTTTTTAACAGTTATCAACAAAAACACAATATATATATAGGTTTTGACAAATTTCACATAGCAGGCCTTACCATTTGTTCTCAAAACAAAAACCTGTTCAAGTCTTCAGTTTAAAAAAGGGAGGTGATTTAGGTGAAGAACAGTTTAAATAAAAACCGTTCAGCTACAAACTGAAGTGCACTTTATACATTTTATTATTATTATTATTTATTTTATGTTTGTTAAATTCATCTGGCTCCTTTTTAAATGGAAGACTGTAAAAGATTTTTGTGTTGAGAAAAAAAGTAAATACATTTTTATAAAAAACTATTTTTATAACATTTGCTTTGTTTTGTTTGGCAAGTTGTTTGAAAGACCATGGTACAAGAAGACCAGTGCGCTGTTTTTAGAATAAAATACTGGAAAGGATAGACATTTAGTTTTTGTCTTTTTATCCGATTAATAATCGATTAATCGAAGTAATAATCGACAGATTAATCGATTATCAAATTAGTTGTTAGTTGCAGCCCTAGTTCAAAAGGAGAATTATTTGAATATTAGTGGGTGTAAAAAAAAGAAAGTGGGTGAAAGCTGGTAAGAGCACAACTCACCATAGTGTGAATGTCCTCATGGCTGTGTGTTTGGTTGTTGCAGGACATTCAGTCTGAACAGGGACAAAAAAAAAGTATTAATATACAAGCATCAACTTATGTTCATGGCATTTAAAGGATGATGGTTGTGTGGTTCAGTTTGCACAGCTGGAGAAATCAATGCTGATCTGTACACAGCAGCTCAGATAGATCAAGATAAGCTGCCACAAGAGCCCATGAAGCCTCACTTTGGTTTTCTTAAATTAGACATTTTCTTGGTGTTATTCTAATGTGTGACTGTGGTCATGAAGTGTAAGTTTCTGTTCGCTGTCAATTATCTGACGCTGACATTAGGAAATGGCCTCCAGAAAAGATGTCGCCCACAAACTTTATCCTTAAAAAAAAGGAGCTAAATACATAAAATGTTAAAAAGCTTTTGTGTGCGTCACGTAAAACAATGATAATGAGTGTAACCCTTAGCTGAACATACTACCGGGTATATAAATACATAAATGGCCTCTGCACGGTCATCCATCTTCAAAGCCTTCTGTGAGAATGAGGTGGTGGGGTATCTGCAACATCAGGGAGGCAGCAGAGAAAACCTTGGGGTATATGTGCGTGAGGACCGGAAGCTCATGCAGGAAGTGGAGATGTGAGGTCAAACTGACAGAGATGCTGTACGTCAAATGAATTCACAATGTGGTTTAGTGTGAAACCTGTACAGTACTTCACATCAAGGGGATACACGGGGGATGTTTGCTTCAAATGAAGTCTATATTTAAACATTTAATTATTACAACTTTGCAGATATGTGACAAACTGAATAGCCTACATCAGATGAACTTTTAAATATGAATTTATTTAATTCTGTTCATATAGTCAGACAGTATAATGTACTCAGCGTCTTTTAACACATTAAACTTACAGACAAAAGGAAAAGCAAAAGGTTGACAATCTTTAATTTTTTTTAAATCAGCTTTAGCTTCAAGTTTTAGAATAAAATGCACTTTAAGGAGTGAAATAGTTACCTTTCATTTGCTATTCAGTAGGAAAACATGCATCACATCAGAGTAGATATTGCACAATTAAAACTCTACAAAGGGCTTCGTTAAATTCGGGTGAACACATTTGAATCATGAATATAGGCTGTGGCAGAATAAAGTGCATTCTCTCTCTGGATGAAGGTGAGGTACGGCTCAATATTTCGTGGTTCCTGCAATAAAACAGATAATATTGTTAAAGTAAAGGAAAAAAAGCTGTAGGAGTAGTTTTTCCATTAAATGAACGCCATGTATAACGTGTACAGTACCTCGTCTGGACGACTGCTCCGTGGTTCCAGTTGTCGTCTGCTGTGTGAACGGACAAAGAATTTATTCACTCTCCCGCGTGTATTAACAAAATTTGTACTATTGAGAATTGTACACTTAATTAACTGAAGATAATATTATTCCATATTAGTCTCTTACCTATGGTGACTTTTTCTGTAGATAACTAGCAGGATAACTCCGGTTATAATGATGAATATAAATACACCAATTAGAATTCCAACATTAACTAAAGATATTTCTGTTCCTGTTGTACTGTCGGGGTCTTCATCCTCTTAAACATTGTAAAGAAAACAAAATATAGAACATCAGAAGAGTAGCTTGGGTATTCATTTAATACAGAAACACTGATTATACTCTTTGATATTATCATGTAATAATGAATAACTGGCATGATGTTATATTGTTAGTAAGAAGATGTACGGATGCTGATATTCTTTATAATGTTACCAACCAAACACACACCTGTGTCAGTAATAAGAGAAATATTGTGAGGGAAATGCACAAGATGTGAAACACAAAAGTTATAAAATAAATCATTTACCTTCCACAGTGATATTCAGATGGAGAATAATTGTTCCACCAACAAGTGAACACTCACAGGTGAAGTTCCCACTATCCTCTGGTGTTAAACTGGTCAGGTGGAGAAGTAAAGTCTGATTCTCTTCCATCAGTGTGAATCTGGAGTCACATTCATGCACAAAGTCCTGTCCATGTTGATACAGCAGACGACACTCTTCTCCTCTCATCTCTGTTCTGATCTTACAAACTACAAGTGCGACCATATTCAGTGTTTCATTGGTGCAGATTGGAGTCACATCTGGTTTACTCCCAATGGTTTTTGAAAGCTTCACAAGAGTTGCTGCAATCAATCACAAATAAAACTCACTTTGAAATACAGTCACTGAGTTAGTATTTATACACAGTAACAGTTTTCACTGCACAAAAATGAGCAAATTACAGAGAATATTATGTCGCTCTATAAACTAAAGACAGAGAGATTAACACAGAATAACATCTCGTATGAGTCAGAAACTATAAAAAGTAACTGCTGTACAGTACCTGTGCTGCCGATATAAAAAGTTAGCTGCAGAAGCAGAAAAAAACACAGTTTCCATCTACCCATACTGGTTGAGACCTCTAACCAACAGTGCAACTGCTGCTCACGGTGTCCAGTAAACTCTACCGAAGGGAGTGTAGACAGACCCCTTTGCACTGCTCTCTGTTACGTAAACCTCAAACTCTCTCAGCTATGCTGCTGGTGTGAAGTCTTAAGGAAGTGCTGCTGCTGCTGCTGCTTTCATCTTAATCTCAGATGAAAGATACAAAAAATGATGACGACTGTAGAAATGAAGTGCCAGAAAAAGTGTCATCCTCTTATCTGCTAAACACTGAGAAAAAGAAAGAAAATCAATCAGCATTCAACTCCTGCAACAATTAATTAATTTAATCTTTTAAAGTGTGAGCAAACAAACTAACCTTCCACAGTAAGATCAAGATGGGTAACATGTTCCTCTTTGATACAAACACAGCACTCACAGATGTGTTTTCACTCATGCATACTGGAGTGATGACTGTGTATATAGTGGACAGAGTTTCCAGGTCTGTGAAGTGAAGCTAACCTTGAGGTGTGTTAACATGCATTCTTTCTTATGGCCAGCAGAGGGCAGCTCCAGTGGCTGCAAAAGTCTTTCTTAGGTCAGTGAACAGTTTCCTAATGAGTTGATGGTCTCAATCTCTAGTTTCAAGTTGTTTCACAACAGTCTCTGCAATACAGGCAATCAGCCCCTCAGTGTTATTGCATTTAACATCTTTATTTTTATACCAAAATGAGCTGTTAACAGTGGAAAAAGCAGATCAAAACACTGTTTCCATCCATTAAACTGGCCAAAAGATCTAAAGCTGATTACACAAAACTGTGCTGACAAGAGAAATGTCATTTTACTGCATACCTGACAACTCTGACAGCCCTCTTGACTTCCTGTTCGGGCCGTCTTTCCCGGTTAAGAGGAAAGCAGGAAGTGCATTACTAATCAGCACCTCCTCGTCCTCAGCTATATAAGCTGGAGGTGTTAGTCTCTCGCTCTCTCTCTTTTTTGTTCATTACACTTCACTGTCACTCACACAAACACTACTGATGTACTGATTGATATACTTTATACTATCATTGCTTCACTTATATTTTGTTAAATAAATATTTAGTTCAAAAGTCACGTGTTTACCTCTTGTCTTTGTCCCACCCTCAAGCCGCCTGGGACACAACATCATTGTCTTGTATAAGTTCACGTGAAACGTTCTAAAACAGAAGTGAACATGAATTCTTGCTTCCACTTTCAAGTTATAATACAGTATCAGCATCTCTGGGAAGCATTATGCTCATCCTGATGATGGTAAAACTCCTCAAAACTCCCTTTTAGGTGCTTTGGTGCAAAGTGAAAACAGATACATCTTTGAGTGAAACAGAAACAGAGAATTAAAGTCTCAAGTTATTTAATTCACTCATTGTCAGATTAACCAGATTAATTAGTTAAATCCAAAAACCTTTAAGGATTTTCAATCGTTATAACTGTTTGGGACATAAGTGGCTCAAATGAGTTGCTCTTAATGTCCAGTTATTAATAATTTATATTCCTGTATATAATGGTGATACGACCAAACGCTTCTGTTAACTGAAAATTATTAATAATTAACTGTGTAAGGATTTATGTGATACAGCATTTTTAACACTAACTTTATCGTGTTTCTTGATTCCAGCGTTTAATAAAAACACCATTCTGACAACAACAACAAAAAAAATAATAAAGAAACCAGCGTTTTATTATTTTATTATGAAAAGAGGAATACATTAGACATGTTATTGACGTTTGGTTTCCATAATTTCATAGATTTCGCCAATTGGATCAGTCTCTGAATTTATTACGATGCCGTGTTGATGGGGCACTGAGGACATAGTCTGGTACAAATCACTTGCTGGCTGTTGAAGGCTTGTGTAGGTGTTATCTGGGTCATCTTTGTCCTATAAATAAACATATCAAAAAGTCTAATAAGGCATCCTTTGTAAAGGTTTATAAATGTAGTAGTTCATTTAATAAAAACATTAACCATTAACAAAAGCTGGTAAGGTTTTTAAAAAAATGGAACCATTATTTACACAAAATGAGAAAGTGGTACTTCAAATCTTAATGTGTCATGTTGAATAAATGAGACTGAAAAAAAGTTGACACATTGACCCTGAGTCATACGGAAACCTCAGTTTTTTACGTAATTTACCAGCTGATTCACATCCCCTGGGCTTTTATTCACAGCACTGCTGCTCAAAATCTTCCAGGTAGAAGATCAAGAGCAGAATTTTCTGTTGGTTTAAACATTAAAATGGGAAATAAATGCATCCTAAGTACAGTCTGATTGAGGAAGACATTTTCCTGCACCTTAGAAACAAGAAACCTTGCAGATGTCAAAAACAAATCCAGGAAAGCAGGGGGACTAAGCAAGTCTAATGAGTTGCCACTGAGTGTATACAGTAAATACTGTATGTGAGCTACTTACTAAGTTAAAGGGGGGAAAAAAGAGAATACGTTGCTCACCAGAGAGCAGGTGGATTCGCTTACAGATAATACAGATGGTCCTGACCTTGTCTTGTCTCTGAAAAAAAGAAGAGATTCATATAAGTGGAGCACAACACAAACCAAAGCAGCAACTACAGTCAATAGTTCAATGTTACTCCTTATACTCCTCCCAACATAAATACCAGATTCCTGCATTTAGATCAAGAATTTATCACCTGTAACTCTGTTTTCTCAGGATAAACCCAAGGACGACTCCAGTTATGATGACAACAGCAGTACCACTACTAATCAAAGCGGTATAAATGAGCATTTTCAGAGAATTGCTGGCCTCTTTCTCTCCTAAAAAACAAAGAAACGTTGAATTTCAATATAATTTTGACAATTATTCCTGGTTCTCTGTTGGATTATTTACTTTATGCATTGACAGTGGTCTGGTTTAATCTACAAGTAGAGGCATCACACCTGAAATTAATCATGTTTACCACAGAGACAAATGCAATAAAATAAAAACGTACCTTTCACGGTGAGGATGAGATGCAGAGTATCCGTTCCACGAAAATGTGAACACTCACAGGTATAGTTCCCACTATCCTCTGTTGTCAAATTGGTCAGGTGGAGGAACATAGTCTGATTATTAGTCCTAAGTGTGAACCTGGAGTCACACTCGTGCACAAAGTCTTGTCCGTGTTGATACAGCAGTCGACACCCCTCTCCCCCGCTCGTCTCTGTTCTGATCTTACATACTATAAGTGTGATGATGTGCAGTGTGGCGGCGGCGCATATTGAAGTAACATCTGGTCCACTCCCGATGGTTTTCACAATAGCCTCTGGAAGTATAGGAAATGAGTGACTGAGACCTGAACGAGCAAGATGAGTTAATAGCAGGAGACACTAAGAAAGCTAACAAAGTAAGCAACTTGTAATTCTACCAAACTGCACACATTATACATACTGAAACTCTCCAGTATAGTACCTTCAGTGTTAATACACAAACACAGGGGGAGAAGGACAAACCACAGCTTCCATTTATCCATAATGGTAGATAAGTAAACAACAGTGCTGCTGTCGGAGAACAGTAAACTACACTAAATGAGGAGGGTAAACATTGACACCTTAGACGAGTAGAAGCTGATAATGACGTGTTAAAAAGGAACTGCAAGACAGGACTGCTTCTACTTTCCTGTTTAGATAATGTTTGTCCCCCGCCCAATAAAATCGGATGTGAAATCTAAGCGCTTCGACTTTCAAGAACTTTGAGAATGTCCCATGACTCAAAGTTTGTCATGTTTGGAAGGAAGACTGGTTAAAATGACCTTTGCTTTATCATTTTAGACTGGGGGATCTCCGCCCAGAACTGGGTTGGGTTGCCATCAGCAGTACTGGGCTCCATTTCAGCAGCCAGGATCAGGAAACGTCCTGAGGCCCCTAGAGCACACATTAAGAGCACACATTAAGAGCACTGTGTCATGTTTTCATACCAATCAGAGCAGCAACGAGAAGTCAACCTGAACTTTCTTAAATTTAAAAAGGACCAATGTGTAGGATTTAAGTTGCAGATTGCAACTAACTGAACACCGCTGGTGTCCGTCTGTCGTTGGCTACTGTAGAAACATAGCGGACCCGGTGAAAAACGTTATAAAAATGGTTAATTCTTGATTATAAACTAATTAAAACTCCACCCATGACCCCGACCATACCATTAAGTCAAAATATTAGCAAAACTATAGCTTTTTAAAAAGCTTTTACATTAGGAAACCTTGTTCGACTCTCAGTGGTTGGGTAATGTCAGTAGAGGGAATAAACACCTTATACCAAAGAATTGCCACCAGGCCACATCAACAAGGACGAGAAAACATATTTTCTCTGCCCACGCTTTGTTCCTCAGCTGGACAGGAAGCAGACAAACTGAAACTGCAACAGAGACAGGCAGACAGCTTAAAATAGACGCAGGTCTACGGGATACAGAACCAGGTAGAACAACTGTGTCACGGCTGTAAATTAGAGCGACCCCCCCCCCCACCCTCCCTCCTAACCCCATGTGTAACACATGAAAGTCACACAGAATGTCCAATGCTTTGCCCATAGACAAACACTAATGCCCATTTTTAGACTTATTGAAATAAGGGCACCTTCACAGTCAACATGCCTGCTTTAGGCCTAAAAGCACAGGCCTACTGAGGTAACTGGGCGATGTATAAAACGTATATAGCCTATCAAGTTCTTCAACAAATTCTGTGTTGACTCTCATTCAAGGAATGACGTCACTGAGACCTGTTTCCTGTCTCTCATCCCGCACTGCTTGCCACAACCATCTGGAAACCCCCAGACATCTTGCGACCTCTTTGAAGGTCCCGACCCCAAGGTTGAGAACCACAGAGTTGGAGGACTGTTGTTAAAATGCTGCAGTGCATTCAAGAAACCGAACAATGAAACCAGGTCAAGCGTTCCTCCACCACAGTCATGAGACAAGCCTGAAAGTGATGTCTGTGAAGTAGTATAATCCATCATTCTCAGTACCTGGCAGTTTATTACCACTGAAATATAAAACCCTTTACAAGGTTATATCTGTTTATACATAAAGTATGCAGAAACCAGACAGTATCAGTGTCAACCTCATCTGCAGAGCACATCAGGAAAGAAGGGAAGTTCATAAGAGAAACCACAGCTTTATCACAGCTAATACTTCTCACTTCACATCTCTTGTCTGGGTGTTGTGGTTTTCACTTTTCCTTGTTTGTAACACTGGTGATTACAGTGTCAGATAATGGGTTATATAGTTCTTGAGCTCAATGAAAAGGCAAATCAAATATAATACATATATGTGACTGACTAAATTCATCCTTGCTACACATAAGTGTAGGTCAGGGGAGCCCCCACTAAGGGTCGCCAAAGCTTGATTTTAAAGGGTTCAAGAAAACTTATATATTATATATTATATATATATATATAGTAGGCCTATATCTCACGATTTCATTCATTTATGTGACGAAAACCAAATTAAACTTGTATTTTTTAAGTTATTTAAGATTTTGAAGACCTGAACACAAACTATATTCACAGAGCCTCGTCCTGCATTAGAACAACAATACAACAAGAAAACACTGAATTTGTTTAAAAAAGAACCCTGTAAGTATGTATGATTGTTAAAAATAAACATAATATAATAAACATAATACAGAGGGTTGTACTAAATAAATCCTAAAAATATCAGAAAAACTCATCTCTATTGCAATATTCACTGGAAATAATCTAAAAAAATAAAATAAATTCATCCAACTTGCTAATTTTGCACAAACTTCCCGTGGTTATTTTGATCTCCAAGTGGGTTCAAGGAGTATTATAGTATTTATCAGCAGTCAGGGGTCATACGTTTACCCAATTATAGAGAAGGGATCCATTAAGGAAAAACGTTGGGAACCAGTGCCGTAGGGTTTGAGGGCCTGAATACTAAAATAAGAGCAGACCTACCAGCAGGGGAAGTAGTAGACAGAATGACCTACATTAAACAGTATCCAGGTTGTGCCTCTGAGATTAAAAATGTCTTTGTGTAGAGATACTCCCGGTATCATCACTGATTATTGGTTTTAATGTGTCAAGCTAAATAAATAGTTCACTATTGTGACTTTTTTTACTACATTGGAGATCCTAAAGATAAAAAAAGATGCAACCTAATATTTAAATAATGATCTTATTAGTGTCTGTAAGGCATTGGTGAAAATGTGGTATCAAGATTAACATTAATAAAATTGTTTAAATGCACAGCAGCACTACGATTCACCTAATTAAAGATGTAAATAAAGGGGAACAGATTGTCATGTCACAGGCCTACAGTGCAAATACATTAAATTATAGTCAACATAGCAAACCAAATATTGGTTTATAAGAATTAGGATCAAAACGTGCAAAAGTACCCATCATGCAATGGGAGATATTACTTTAAAATTTAGCTCCTGATCCATTTTATTTCTGTAAATGTAAAAAGAAACAGCAAGGCCACTGGGTAACATTTACTGAAAACACCATTTCATTTACACAGCAATGTGAGGTTGTATTTAAGGAAGCGATAAATGATATACTTTAGACAATCCATGCTCTGAAAAAGAGAAAATGCTTGTTTTATTTTAAGACTTATTCTACACACCCATTCAAACAACACACCGTAGGAAAAAATGTAAAGGCACATCTGTCTTTCTGCATTTCCTCTGAAAGCTTTGAAGCCTCAAGCCAAAGCATGACCCAGATATAGTCAAACATGTCTCACAGCACTCAAACACTCTAACTATTCGTCCTTCGTAAAAAAAAATATCACATGACGACTCTGTGATCAAAAACCAAAACCAGTCATATAAATATGTGATAGACTGCTGCTGCCTGCTCGAACAGCTTACTCAAATCTCAACTTTACTCTTAAACAGCAGCGTATCGTGCAGCCAAATGACATAAAACTTTAATTAAATGTCAACAAATTTAGAATAAAAGTTTAAAATACAAATAAGGAATGTATATTGAGGACCCTCGTGTTGTAGGTCCAAGCACATCATACCCCCCCCTGTATAAAAGGACATTTATGATGCTTCTCATCCCTTCAATAGGTTATCCACATATAGGAGATGACATTGTGTGTAAAAAGAGCGAGAGCGTACCACCTGTGCACTTTAGTTTCACTTAACTCATCTTTTTTTCACATCATACACACCTGGTAACTGATTACAGGCGGTTAATTGATCCTTTCTTTCCATACAGCCCATTAAACCCATGCTTGATCAATATCTGGTTATCACTGAGCATGCACACAGACGTAGAAAAGCCTACTTCTGCAGAACGCCTTTCATGTGCAGAGACACACAGATCTTTGATGTTCTTTCATGAATCTCATCATCTCGTGTGACACCAGAGGAGTAAAAGTGAAACACAGCCACATGTACACAGATGATAACTACCTACCAAATTAGGTCACTCACACATGTCAAAGATGGCGGTGAGAAGAGTACTTGCTCCTCTCTGGATGTAAAGCTCCAGCCACATGCTCCACAACCTCAGTAGCTTCACCTTGAAACCAGATAGAGTTAATTATGTGCATCAGAAGAAGACATGAATACTAAAAAGTGCTGTAACTTATGAATGATCAAAGTAAGGCCTTTGCTTTTCAGGCTTTATTCACACTTCAAGCCTTAGTGCCCAATTCTGAATTATTGCTCTGATTTATTAATTTGTTTTAATGTGGCTCATATCATATCATGCACAAGTCTCGGTCCTGAAGTCCTTTATGATGAATGTTTGTTCATCTGTGATTGTTTGATGACAGTGTGAACAGAACATTTGAGTTTTCTTTGTGAACATAGCTCTATCCTGACACTTTGGTGATAAAAGAGAAAGCTTGAGAGGCTAAATTGTAAAAACTATAAAGTTAATTACCTCCTGCAGATTAAGTGCGCGTCCAAACAAAAGTTTCGGCGGTTGATGGCTCCGGAAATTAGTAATTGTGCTTTCAAAATAAAATAATCATTGGGCTTTATTTGAGAAAGAAAGAAAATTATTTATCAATACACGTATTTTTTAAATAAACAATAATAGAAGTGTTGGCGAGATGTATTGCAATAATAAAAGGGTAAAATAATTTATCAGTAAATAAATACTTCCCAATAAATATTCCATAACATGAAAAAAAAAAAAAAAACTACAACTCCCTTTAAAAAACTCTTCTCTTCTTTCGAGTGATTTCCTATGTGGGCTTTTAATAGATCAAAAACTATTAATATTAATATGTTACAGCTCCAGTATTTGAACAGTGTGCACACTGTCCACTGGGTGGCGCCACTTAGCCAGCATTTACGTTGCTCTGCCCCAAAGGCTGCTGGGTAAATTGTCTCTGAGGACGCAGCATGAGCCGCTGAACAAGTTGACATCACACAGGTAAATGTTTCCTAATGAGCCGCTCAGCTTGTGAATACACACATTTTATATTGTTTGTATTTACTGTGTGTTTAGTGTCACTGTTGTTTATTTGAGGTGTGGAGTCGGACTTTGAATGCGCCTCCATCTTTGTTTTTAAGATGTTAGCATGTGTCTTCTTCCCTCCTCACACAGACAGCCTCACTGCTGTGTTTCTAAGTGCTATTTTATCTAAACAGAAGCTCATATTGTTAAACGCACTCTACATTTTCTAGTTGTTCTCATTAGTTATTGT